TCTCTCTCTCTCTCTTTCTCTCCCCCCTCTCTCTTTCTATCTCTCTCTTTCTCTCTCTCTCTCTCTCTCTCTCTCTCTCTCTCTCTCTCTCTCTTCTCTGTATTTTATAATTTAACTCGCTTGGTCTTTTACGTTCAGTCACGGCTTCCATCGCCTTTCTTCGGTAGATTGCACACCACCGCTCGTTTGTGCTCAGAAATTAGGAAAAACATAAACATTTGCCAAGCGGAAGCCGCGTTGTCTCTCATTCGAAAGCGAAACTGCATACAGTGCGAACGTGTTGTCTGTGCCTTGTTGATCTGAATTCAGAACCTAAGGTAATGATCAGATGGCTGTGGTGGTTTATTGTAGCTGAAAGCTGTGCAGTGTAGGCTAGTATAGATCTAGATTTAGATTTAGATTTAGACTCTAGATGTTGTATCGTGTAGAACCAAACAAGACTCACACAGAGTCTCACGAGGGAGAGAGACCAGATCTAGACCTAGAATCCACACCTAGGCCTAGGCTTGCCCCTCCTTCTTACTTCTTCTTAGTCCCTAACTTATTATAACTAACTAATCATAATGTCCACTGGAACTGCATAGGCTAGTATAGATCTAGATCTAGATCTAGATCTAGATTCTAGATGTTGTATCGTGTAGAACCAAACAAGACTCACAGCTAGTCAGCTAGGCTTGCTTCTCCTTCTTAGTACTTAGCTCTTAGTCTGTAGTGATTCTAACTTATGACCACTGGCACTGCATGCAGTGTACAGGGTAGGACTGGTCTTTGTAGAGCTAACTCTAGGTTTGTGTATAATGGGAATAGCACACGGTGAGCCTAACCTTAATACCTAATACTAATACTAGATCTAGATCTAGATCTAGAAGATTCTATCTAGAAGATTCTAATACTAATTTATAACTAATATTTAATAGGCCACCTGAGAATAGTGCAGGCGAGTCTTGTGGCTATTCTCACCCGGTGCGCGTTCACCCTAAACCACAGAATTCTACACTGTGATAACAGAAAAATTGTAGAATTCTGTGCCGTGAACAAACGTTCCATTACAATTGTAGCCTACTAAAAGCGTACAATTTTGTCTGTGGGCAGTGGAGAGAGAGAGAGAAAGTGGCGACCCGCGTAGTTCGGCTCGATTCGAAAAGTTAAATAGCCATAGCATCTTTGTAGACAACCAAATTTAAATAGCCATAGCATCTTTGTAGACAACCAAATTTTGGTCAATTTGATCGTCCACACCGATAGACAGTATTCAGAAAGAGCGGAGGAGTTGATCTTGCGAGAACTTCCGGGCGGGTGAGAATCTAATAGCCACTTTCTATTCAATAAAACAAACGAAGTGGCAAAACAAACGAAGTGGCTAGCCGTACATAAGTACGGCTAGACTGCCAGTCTATCCGTACTTAGATCTAGGTTTGGCCCAATCGACTCAAGCCTGTTAAGTACACAGGTCTCATTAGATCTAGATCTAGATCTAGTAATTATTCAGGTTCAAATACATGCAAGTCAGTAAGGCACCTTTTGGTTTGTCTGAAATACAAATACTTTAGGCATTGCAAACTAAAAATTTCATTTACAATTCAGCCATCAATATTAAGTACGGCTAGCCTGACAGTCTAGCCGTCCTTAAGTACGGCTAGCCTGGATGTCTACCCGTACTTAAGTACGGCTAGACTGCCAGTCTAGCCGTACTTATCTTAGGCCCTATTAACATTAGAAAACAGGAGGTTTAAAATACATGCACTGTCATTAAGGCACCTGGTTTCGTCTCAAATACAAATACTTTAGGTACTGCACACTAAAAATGTATATTTACAATTCAGTAGGCCTATTTTTTGTAAATAGGTCAGTCTAGCCATCATATTAAGAATAAGTACGGCTAGCCTCTTCCTAAAACAAAAGCTTCACTAAGTAATGACTAGATCTAGATCTAGATTCTAGATCAAGATCTAATAGCAATGCTAGATCTATCTGAGCTGGGCACTTTGTAGAGCTAAATCTAGGGCTGTTTAGAAAAGTGTTTGATTGGAAATACTCGGTGAGCCAAAGGCTTAGTCAACCGAGTGAGAATCCTATTATTATATTATTACCGACTAATGGCATTCACTAACAAATGAGTTATCAAACTTCAAACAAACTTAGATTTAGCTCTACAAAGGCCAGTAATGGCAATGCTTAATGCTAGGACTTGGCTTTGTACAGCTAGATCTAGGGTTGTTTAGTGGTTGATTGGAAATGTCGCACGGTGAGCCGAACGGTTTTAACTAATTAAAAGATGGGGGTTCGGATGGCTAAGTAAGTGAGTGGGTCCAGATCTAGTGAGTTTAGACTCAACAGTAATGTTAAGCAAATGTCGGTGTTTGACACCGTTAACCAAACTGCCCCTCTGGGATCAATAAAATTGTAATTTATAAATGTATCTCTTTAATGGTTCACTTTGAAGTCAGTATTCCATGAGTAAGAAACGCGAGTGATTCTTGAATTAAAAAGTGGAGACCTCGAACCGTCATTTCAGTTTGGGAAATTTTCTGCGCTCGTCCGACGCAAAAACATAGGCCTAGATTTTTTGGCGAATAACTTTCGATCCCGTTTACTTTTAGCCTCGTTTCTCTAAACGGCATTCTTCGAGAGGAGTGGTCCCGGCTTAACTCCAAAGAAATAACACTAAGAGTTTGTAGTCGGAAACAAAAACGGAAGTAGGGTAAAAAAGCTGTCTTCGGTATTTTTTTGTCGTTCGAATTTAGAATATTTTCATCCTGATTTTTTTCTTCATCGGGTGGCATTGTGACCCTGGCAACTCAAGCCAGCTTTTTTAATCGGCTTCCGTTTGTGTTTCCGATTGCGAGTGTTATTTCTATGGAATAAGGCCGGGACCCCTAATTCTCCCAAAGAGTGCCCTCTAAACGCGTGACAACCCCGTTTTGTCTTTTCGAGCAATACTCATTTCAACATTACAGATTGGTGTGGAAGGGCACTTTTCCTGAGAGGCAAAAATAAAATATTGCTCGATATGAGTCAGGCGGAACTATTTTCTTACGGATATTGATGTAAATGGAACAAGACCGGGAACGGTAGCTCGATAACAATCGATGTCATCTGTCCCAAGTCATCCGTTAAAAAAAGCGTGTCTTTTCGTTGGACGGGCTACAGCACGGGCGAAAATAGTTTTGGTGCGGACGGACATCCCCGCACGGAACCTCAATTTTTAAACTGACTGCGTCACTATCGTTCTGTAGGTATTAATTCTAAATAACATTTCCAAGCCCTCTGACCTCGTAACCGCAACAATTTTGGTCAGGTCCGTTTTCCCCCTTCTCTTTCCCCAGATCTCGGAATCTTCGCGGACGCAGTATCATGTCTGGAGAGGAACAGCCCCAGCCGTTTGCCAGCGACGAGGAGATGGTGAGTTCTCACGCATCCACAAACCCACCCACACACACACACACACACACACACACACACACACACACACACACACACAATCACATACCCACACACACCCCCCCCACACACACACACAATCACACACACGGACTAGAAACGGCAGTGAAATTTAAAATCCATTGGTTGATATCTCATAGATCAGTGCGTATAGTTCACGAAAGTACTCATATTACAAAAAATTAATAATAAGAGCCTGTGTAGAGCCGTCTGTATCTTCAGAGTAACTTAAGAGCTGGAAGGGGACGAGTAGAGCTACGTCCCCCCCTCCCTGTCGGGGATTGAAATAATTTAAATAATAGA